AGTGTAGAGAAAATATGTATGTCATGTGTAGTTTTATCTGCTAAATCATTGCCCAAACTAAGGGCTCCAGGCAATCCTGTATGTGCCCTGATATGTCCTATAAAGAATGGATCTTTTCTGTCCCAGATTAGACTTTGTATAGTGGAAAGCAAAGAGAAAACAGTAGAAGAAGGGGAAATCCTACCAGCATCTTCAAGAGATACTATAGCATTAACTACATACTGACTATCAGAAAATAAATTAAATACAGAATCTTTAAACATCACAAAAGCTTGTAAAACTGCATTAAGCTCTACCTTTTGAGCTGATTGTTTGGGTACTAAAAATGTAAAAGTTTGATCAGGGGTAACTACTGCTGCTGTACCATTATTTGACCCATCAGTGAATATATTTGGAGCATTCATGATAGGTGTTTTTCTTATCATTTTTGGAAAAATTACAGGATGCAATGACCAAAAAGACAATAAAGGATTAGATGGTAAGTGGTTATCAAATGAAACATTAGATTTGCACATGATTATTGCCCAAGTATTTAACTCATTAGCTAACTCATCAATTTGATTCATATTATATGGAGTAATAATTTTATTGGGAGAAATTCCAAACACTCCCTTTGCTGCTTTTATACCACTCACATGGACTGTGTAAACACTCCCTTTGCTGCTTTTATACCACTCACATGGACTGTGTAAACAAGCAGGGGTTTCTATCCTCATAAAGGATAGTAGACTTCAAGCCAGAGTTAGTCAAAAGGGATAAAGAAGGACATTTCATACTGCTTAAGGAAACCATACATCAATAAGACATAACAATCCAGACACATACAAAATATTTAATCCATCAATGAGTGAATACATTTTCTACTCAGCAGCACATGGATCTTTCTCTAAAACAGACCATATATTATGCCACAAAACAACTCTTAGCAAATATATATATAAAAAAAAAATAAGAGTTAGTACCCTACATTCTATCAGATCATAATGGAATAAAATTAGAAATCAACAATAAAATAAAAATTAGAAGCTACTCCAACACATGGAGACTAAATAATATGCTACTGAATGAACAATGGATAGCAGAAGACATCAGAGAGGAGATTAAAAAATTCTTAGAGGTAAATGAAAACACTGATACCACATAGCAAAATCTCTGGGACACTATGAAGGCAGTACTAAGAGGAAAGTTCACTGCATGGAATGCATTCCTTAAAAAAAGAAAAAGTCAACAAATAAATGACCTAACATTACATCTCAAAGTCCTAGAAAAAGAAGAATATATCAACATCAAAAGTAGAAGAAGACTGGAAATAATAAAAATCAGAGCTGAAATCAATGAAAATAAAACAAAACAAGTGAAAAAATTAGCAAAAAGTTGGTTTTTTGAAAAAATAAATAAAATTGATAAACCTTTAGCCATGCTAATGAAGAGAGAGAGAAAAAAAACTTGGATTACTAAAATCTGTGATAAGAAAGGGAATATCATGATGGACACTACTGAAATACAGAAGATAATTAAAAACTATCTTAAAAATTGATACTGTAATAAAATAAAAAATATCAAAGACATCAACAAATTTCTAGAGTCATATGATCTACCCAAACTAAATCAGGATGATATATGCAAGTTAAACAGATCAATTTCAAGCAATGAAATATAAGGCGCCATCAAAAGCCTACCAACCAGGCTAGGGATATAGCTGGTAAAATGTTTGCCACGCATGCACAAAGTCCTGGGTTCAATCCCCAAAAAAAAGCCTACCAACCAAGAAAAGCCCAGGGTCAGAGGACCAGAGGAATTCACAGCTGAGTTCTACAAGACCTTCAAAGAAGAATACAAATACTCCTCAAATTATTCCATGAAACAGAAAAAGAGGAAACCCTTCCAAACTCATTCTGTGAAGCTAGTATCACCCTGATACCAAAACCAAACAGACACATCAAGGAATCAAAATTTCAGACCAATATCTCTAATGAACATAAATGCAAAAATTCTCAATAAAACTCTGGAGAATCACATACAAACATATATTTTAAAAATAGTGCATGACAATCAAGTGGGGTTCATCCCAGGGATTCAAGGTTGGTTCAACATACAGAAATCAATAAATGTAATCCATCATATCAATACATTCAAAGATAAGAATTACATGATCATCTCAATAGATGCAGAAAAAGCATTCAACAAAACACAGCACCTCTTCAAGTTCAAAATACTAGAAAAAATTAGGGATAATAGGAAAATATCTCAACATTATAAAAGCTACCTATGCTAAGCCCCAGGCCAACATCATTCTAAATGGAGAAAAATTGAAAGCATTCCCTCTAAAAACTAGAACAAGACAGGGATAGCCTCTTTCACCACTTCTATTTAACACAGTCCTTGAAACTCTAGCCAGAGCAATTAGAAGATATGAAAAAGAAGAACTCAAACCATCAATATTTGACAATCATAATATTTGATACTTAGAGGTTCTGAAGAATTCCATCAGAAAACTTCTAGAACTAATAAATGATTCAGCAAAGTAGCAGGCTAAAAACTCAACACCCATAGATCAAATGCATTTCTGTACATCAGTGACGAATCCTCAACAGAAATGAGGAAAACTACCCCATTCACAATAGCCTCAAAAAACAAAAAACAACAAAAAAAAAAAACCCCACAAATTTGGGAGTCAACCTAACAAAAGAGGTGAAATGAATACAGAACACTAAAGAAAGAAATTAAAGAAGACCTCAGAAGATGGAAATATCTCCCTGATCTTGGATAGACAGAATTAACATTGTCAAAATGACCATACTACCAGAAGCACTATACAGATTTAATGTAATTCCAATCAAAATCCCAATGACATTCCTCATAGAAACAGAAAAGGCAATCATAAAATTCATCTGGAAAAATAAGAGATCCAGATAGCCAAAGCAATCCTTAGCAAGAAGAGTGTAGCAGGTGGAATCACAATACCAAACCTTAAACAATATTACAGAGCAATAGTAACGAAAACAACACGGAATTGGCACCAAATAGACTTGTGGACCAATGGTACAGAATAAAGGACACAGAGATTAACCCACATAAATACAGTTATCTCATACTAGACAAAGGTGCCAAAAACATATATTGGAGAAAAGAGAGCCTCTTCAACAAATAGTGCTGAGAAACCTGTAAATCCATATGCAACAAAATGAAATTAAGCCCCAATCTGTCACCATGCACAAAACTTAAATCAAAGTGGATCGAGGACTTAGGAATTAGACCAGAGACCCTGCACCTAATAGAAGAAAAAAGTAGGCCCAAATCTTCATCCATGTAGGATTAGGTCCTGACTTCCTTAACAAGACTCCTAAAGCACAAGAAACAAAATCAAGAATCAATAAATGGGATGGATTCAAACTAAAAAGCTTCTTCTCAGCAAAAGAAACAATCAATGAGGTGAAGAGAGCCTACAAAATGGGAGCACTAATCTCCAGGACATACAAAGAACTCAAAAAACTTAACACCAAAAAACCAAATAACTCAATAAATGGACTAAGGAACTGAACAGACACTTCTCAGAAGAAGATATACAATCAATCAACAAACATATGAAAACATATTCAACATCTCTAGTAATTAGAAAAATGCAAATCAAAACTACGATTTCATCTGACTCCAGTCAGAATGGCAGTTATCAAGAATACATGTAACCATAAGTGTTGGTGAGGATGTGGGGAAAAAGGCATACTCTGACATTGCTAGGGGGACTGCTAATTGGTACAACCAATCTGGAAAGCATTATGGAGAGTCTCTAGAAAACTCCGAATGAAACCTCTATTTGACCCACCTATCCCACTCCTCGGTTTATACCCAAAGAACTTAAAAATAGCCTACTACAGTGACACAGCCACATCAATGTTTATAGCAGCACAATTCACAACAGTTAACCTGTGGAACCAAGCTAGATGCCCTTCAATAGATAAACGGATAAAAAAAACTATGATATATACATACACAATGAAATACTACTCAGCATTAAAGAGAATAAAATCATGGCATTTGCAGGTAAATGGATGAAGTAAACTGCTGAAGTAAGCCAATACCCAAAACCAAAGGCCAAATGCTTTCTCTGATAAGTGGATGCTGATCCATAATGGCGGTGGGGCTGGGGGTGGGGTGTGCATAGGAGGAATGGAGGAACTTTGGATAGGGCAAAGGGGTGGGAAGGAAAGGAGGGGGTATGGGGGTAGAAAAAATGGTGGAATGAGATGGACATCACTACCCTAGGTACACATATGATAAGACAAATGGTGTGACTCTACTTCGTTTACAACCAGAGAAATGAAAAACTGTGCTCCGTTTGTATACTATGAATCAAAGTGCATTCTGCTGTCAATGTATAACTAATTAGAATGAATGAATGAATGAATAAATAAATAAATAGAAATAAAAGTGAAGGGTAAAGGAATAATGCCTTGGAAAAAATAAGAGGTGAGAGAAAGTACTATGGGCCCCTGAATTAATGTCCCATAATATCTGGGAGAAGAGGAGAGAGATGTGTGAGACTCAAGAGTGTAGACCCAGCAAAGTAATTCATAAATCCCAGTGGCATTAAACATTAAGATGGAGGCCCAGATCCCAAGTAGGAAATGTTGGGTGCAGAGCAGGCTGAACTGTGTTGTCTGCAGGGCAGGCTGAACAGATGTTGGCTGCAAGATAGCCCACGCACTCAAACCCCCCTCTATCTGGTCCTATCACCTGTTTGTGTCAAGTCCCGCTCAAGGCTGAGCACTCAACCCCCCTTGGGCCAACAAGGCAGCTTGCAGACCCAGAGGCCCCATTAGATTTGGGCTATAAAAACTCCCTCCTGCCAGGCCCCCTCTCTCTTGCTCTTTCTCTCTTGCTCTCTCTCTCTCTTGCTCTTTATCTTTCTTACGCGCGCTCTCTGTCTCTCTCTTGCTCTTGCTCTCTCCCTGTTCATCTCTTCTCTTTTCTCTCTCTCTCTTTCCTTCTTTCCTTTCTCTTTGTTGCACTGCTGCAATAAAGATCTTTTAGTTGCTCTGAGTGTTGTGGTCACTTTCCTTTCAGGAAAGGGCTCATGATACCAGCATTATCTGTAACAAAGCAAGTGAGAATTACATTGAAAATACAAATGCAGCAGAATCTAAAACATGTCTACAGCAAGCAAGGATCAACTGAATCATGATATGATGCCCATCATTACTAAAATAAGAAGTGTGACAATTCAAAGGTAATTTTTGGTTTACTGCACTTCCTTTTCTTCCTCTTTAATTAGTTTTTTGTCTTAAACAATAAATATTTCACTTAACCCTGGGTTGGTGGTCATTTAGTGCTAGTTCAGCTGGGAAGTTCTCCTTCTGGTCTTGCCTGGTTTGCTTAGATGGCCACAGTCCTCTGGCAACTCAACCTTTTGAGTGTAGTTTTTTTGGTTTGTTTGTTGTTGGTTTTTTTAATTTTTTTAGTTGTTGATGGACCTTTATTTTGTTCATTTATTTACATGCAGCGCAGTGCCTCACATGCTAGGCAAGTGTTCTACCAGTAAGCCACAAACCCAGTCCTATCTTTGAGTATATTTAGTGAATGTAAACATGTTTCCATAAAAAATGTTAAAGATATATGGCCAACCTCTATCACCTTGCCATATTTTTCCACTAGTTCTTGGATTAGTCAACCACAAATTCACCTCTGTGAGGCTTCAAGAACCTCACCTCTCCTAGTCCCACTGGGGAACAATGACTTAGGTAAAATGCAGAGATTAAGGTACACAAAAGAGAGGGCTGGAAGGAAGGGTTAGATAGGAGAAGGGAGTCATCATGAATGCCAAGTTAAGGAGTTGGGACCTTAATTGAGCAGCATAAGAAGTCAACATGCCTGGAATCTAGTCCCTATTCTCTAAGAAATAATTACTATTCTGAAAAGAGAAAGTTAAAATTAGACTCTAAAGAGAAGATATGACACCTACCACAAACACTAGAGCAATGGGCTGGAAAATAAATGCATGGAAAGTCCTCAATGACCTCCCCGCTTGACATGGCAGTTGCTTGCTGCTGCTACTGGCTTCCTAACTGCAGCAAAGACACCAAAAGCTTTCCCTGCTTTCTGGCCTCCTGAATAGTAAGCTCCAGGGGCTCACTGGAGCTTCCGTTTTCACTGAGCAGAGTAGAGAACAGGGATACCAGCTGGCCAGCAGAACAAGCCTAAGGGCAGTTCTACTGTCTACTCATCCAGACTCAGCTCTGTCTATCCATCCAAGCAGCAAAGGCACCTGCTGCTCCAACCCCAGCCCTACCATGGCCTCTCTCTGGGCCTCTCAGATTCCTTAGCCATAAAACAAGGGAGAGAAAATAAACTCTAGAATTCAAAGGGTGGTCTCAAACCAGTGCCATCCACCAACTCTGTGTTGCCGATTCATGACAAGGACAGAAATTAAGCTTTAACAACAATGTTATGGCTACCCAGTTACATACATAATCCATGGAACTGTCTTGAACTTGGCACAGACTGGTATGCAAGTTTCCTGTGGCTATCAAAACAAACTCCAACTGAGTGATTTCAAACAGCAGAATTTACTCTCTCACAGTTCTGGCGACCAGAAATCTAAAATCCAGAGACAGGTAATACCATGTTCTTGGAGGCTCTGAGGAGAATCCCTTCCCTGCCCTGTCCTTGCCAACTTCTGGGGCTGCTGACAGTCAATGGCTTGTGGCTGCAAAATTCCCATCTTTGCCTCATCTTCACATTGCCTTCTGTGTCAAGTGACCCCTGCATTGCCTCCTATGAACGTATGTGATGGCACTTAGGATTGATCTCATTCAAGATCCTTACTTAATAACTGTTGAGGGCCACAGCTGAGAATGACCCCTGGCATTTTGCCAGAGGGAATGGTTGAAAGGTGATGCCAGCTGAGCCATTGATGATGATGATGATGGTTAGTTAAGCTGTGTATTCAGTTGTATTATTAGACCTTTGCTGTTGAGCCATTGATGATGCTGATGGTTAGTTAAGCTGTGTATTCAGTTGTATATTAGACCTTTGCTGTTGAGCCATTGATGATGATGATGATGGTTAGTTAAGCTGTGTATTCAGTTGTATATTAGACCTTTGCTGTCCAATAGGGCGGCTCTTGCTGCCTCGGGCTCCCGAATCTTTGGAGTTCCCATTGAGTTCTCAGTTCTCGTGGGGTTCCAAGAGAGTTGGGGCGGAGCCCGGTGGAGAGCTGGGAAAGTTCCCGGGGAGTGTGTGTGGAGTGCTGGTGGAGTTCGGGCAATAAAGCTTCCTGTTTGAACATACAAGGCTTTGTGGCGACTCAGTGATTTGTGCCCAGCCAGATTGCGGCAAATAACACCTACAAAAACTTTTTTTCCAGTTATAGTAACATTTATAGATTCCAGGAAACAGGACACGAATATATCTTTTAAGCCCAGAACTGATCTAGGTATTCCTGAATTCATGTGTGAAAAGCTTTCCTTTGTATATACTGTACATTCATATCAATTAACTACTGGAGAAAATGAAATCACCATGCTGATTTCCAAATAGCTTGAACAGCAGTGGGTCTCTGATGTGGGTCCCTGTAAGCAGACATGCTGTAGAGCCATACTGTGGATCCCTGGTCTTCCTCTGTCACCCAGAGTCCAGGGATAGGCAGGACAGACTGCAATGGACTCCCCAGGGAAAGAAAGCAGGCTACCAGGGGGCAGGTCTGGTCTCCCAGATAACTGGCAGGTAATGAAGGGGCTGCCCTCTCCCACTCCAGACTTCTATGCCTCATATGCCTTTAGTTATAAAGTGATTAAATCAAACTGTTTTTGGGTCAAGTGTGCCTCCCTCATCCCATCAAACACTTAGAATTTTAAATATGTAAAGTCTGAAAACAGAAACAAAACTATGTATTGAAATCCTCATGTATCTAGCATTGCTCTGCTACTAAAACATCCTCTCCCCCAACACCCCACTGCCTAGCCTCAAAAACACTCAGGAAGTTTCCAGCTTCAGAACAGAATGGAGAAGGCATTTGGAAACTTGACAAAGGAAGGATTTCATTTCTCATTACAAGTTTTCCAGCCTTTCAGAATCCTCCTTGCTAAAGAAGCCACTGTGTTTCAAGTCCCTTTGCCATGTTACACTTCAGCCTTACAGGGCAGACTATGTCAAGTACCTGGGAATGTTTAAATGATAATATTCAATAATAGCCATGACCACAGTGAAACCAGCCCTCTCTTCACTAACTGCTGATAGGAGTGAAATAGGCACAGTGCTGCACATTCTTATTAAGTAGCTTCAAATTGTATACACCCTTGGACACTGTGATTCCATTTCCAGAATTCTACACTAGGGAATAAATCTGAAATGGAACAAAACAGAATGATCAAAGATATCCATAGCAGCCTCATATATGACATAAAAAGCTGAAAACAGATTTTGTCAAAAAGAGAAAATGATTAAATTAATCCTTATACCAATTCAGGAAAGTAGGTGTTTTTACTTCCACTTCACAGATCTGAAAAACTGGAAGCACCAAGAGTTGTGATGCTTGTTCAAGGTCATCCTACTCCTAAGAGATGCACTGGAATTTTTTTTTTTTTTTTTTTTTTTGAGGTAGGGTGGGTACCAAGGAACTACTGAGCTATATTCCCAGCCCTTTATTGTTTTTATTTTGAGACAGGGTCTCACTAAGTTGCTTAGGGCCTTGCTAAGTTGCTGAGGCTGGCTTTGAACTTGCAATCCTCTCGTCTCAGCCTACCAAACTGCTGGTATTATAGGTGTGTGCCACCACACACAACTGGCACTAGAATTTGAGCCCACACAGCCAACTCCAGAGTGTGTGCTCTTGTACTCTGAATAATGATCCCAGAGCCATCAGGTCCTAACCCTGAAACCTGTAAAAATTACTTTATATGGAAAAATGTACTTTGAAGACATGATTAAGTCAGTTACATTGAAACAGAGATACCCTTCATTTTCTGGTTGGGTTCTAAATGCAAGGGTCCTCATAAGAAAGGTAAGTTTTGTATTTTTTTAACCCCATCCTCCCTTCACTCATGTGCACAAAAGTGGCTATGAACACAGAAGAGGAGACTGGAGTGCTGGGTGACATGCCAAGGAATGCCAGCAACTATCCAAAGCTGGCAGGGAAAAGAATGGATTCTCTCCTAGAGCCTCTGAAGCGAGCACAGAGTGCCTGCACCTTGATTTGGGATGTCTGACTTCTAGGATTGTGAGGGAATAAATATCTGTTGTTTTAAGGCACTCAGTTTATAAAAATTTGTTGCAGCCGCTACAGGCAATTCATACAAGCTCCTGTGCTACACTGCTCTCAATGCAGGAGAAAATATTCGTAAGTTAAATGGAAAAAGTAGAAATCAGAATTTATACACAATGATCTTAATTATGCTGTAAAAATATATGCAAATACAACAAAATGTTTGTAGTGATTATCTTTGAATAGTCAAATTATGGATAATTTTCAGCATTATGTCTTTTGATATTTTTCCAAATTTCTATAATTAGTATGAATTATTTTACAAAGAAAAAAGTTATCTTTTTTTAAAATTAGCAATTCAAGACATTTCTGGAACTCTAACTCAATCACAAAGATTAGAAATCAAGAGATCCAAAACTCCCTAATAATTGTTTTAATTCAATCTCAAGCAACACCTGAAATAATCAGCAACCCAGATGCATGTTTTTTCTCTAAGTGACTCCACTCACCCCTTCTCTCAAAAGCCTATTAGTTTTCAGACTCTGGCAGCACATAATGAGGCTGAAGGAGTTTCAGGCTTTAAAGCAAGAAGATAACTTGAGATGGTAAATGTCTTCCTGCCTACCTGACTGTATGTGGTAGCGGAGAGAGGAGATTCTTATGTATTCCCAGAGTTCATCCAGCCCACAGTCTGTGGCTACACACAAAGAACCAAAAGCACCAGTGAATAAACATGTAAATGTTCGATTTCTCTGTAGGTGACTTCATGGAATGAAACATCAAATTACACATGACCCTAACTTTACAAAATTCCTGACTCCGGGGCTATTCTATTGCAAAACTCTTCTGCTATCATCTGTCCAGGCAGTCATAAATCCAAAGGCCAATTTCACTATGTTAACAACACGTCCTTTGATTAAATCTGTTCATGTATATAGTGTTAACATTTTCCCCCAAATGTGGGTAATACTAGACCAAAATAGAAAACAGCACGTGTGTGGTGTTTCTTTATATGAAGGTCACTGGTT